TGTAATAATTTTCTATTTTACAAAAAAAAAATTAATTTTTATTTTTTTGTTGATCATATCTTTCAATGGCAAATATTTTTTTTTTTTTTTTTTGTAGATCAAATCTGTTTGATTAGCAAATTTGTGCATAATAAAAAAGAAACAAGGTTAATGATTGATGAAACATTATTTTTTGTTTGATGACATTTGATTTATCTTGGATCCATCATTTTTCTCAACAAAAAAAAAATAAAAAAAAAAATGATGGATTTCATTTGAATTTTTTTTTTCGAAATGTTCCATGACAAATTCGAATCATTATTTTTTGTTTGTACGTCTTATATGGATCATCATCCGTTATCAGTTAATGTTTGATCGGAATTTTTTTGTTTTCGGGATCCTTGAAATGACAAAAAAGATTTTTAAAAAAATTAAAATTTGAAGCAAAAAAAAGTATCAAAATCATCATTTGTTTGTTTTGGATTCATTGCTAATGAATTTCTCTTCTTTTTTTCTTTTTTTTTTGTTTAAAAAAAAGTCATAGAAATCAACAACAACAACAGAAATGAAGAAAATTTTGATGGATGACCAGCTTGATTTTGCAAATTTAATCCAATGTTGTTGTTCGTGAAAAGAGGTAAAAAAAATGGCAATTTTCCATTGATTAACTGACTGACTGACAAGAAGAAGAAGAAAATCCCATTTTCACTTTCATTTCACAATTCATTTATAAACAGGATTCAAAGTTGTTTTTTTTTCGTTTGTTTGTTTGAAAAGAATCCATCCCCTTTTTTTTATTGAATCGATTAATCTTGATTGAATATCATGCACATCATCTTTATCTTCAATCAATTCTCAAGTCATCATCACTTCCCACATTATTCCCTATAATGAGAAAAAACTATAAAAATGGATGATTAGAGATGATTTTTGCACATTTTTTTGTTGATTGGTTTGATTGGTGAAACTTTTTTTGAAATTTTTCAGAAATGAAATTCAATCGATGGCTATCGATTATATTGGTCATTATTTTTTCAATGACTTTGGCTGCTGCTGAATCGAATCAAATACGTTTCCGTAGAATACAGCAACCAACAGCAAGGTTATTACAACCACCAAGACAACAGCAACCACGACAGATATTCATCAAACCGCAACCGCAACAACAATATTCCTTACAAAAATCTAGTGATTTAAGGCGAATTAATCAACAACCACGACCACGACCATTATCATCAAGTTTGTCGAATTTGAATAAAAATCCTACCTCATTATCATCAACATCATCATCATCATCATCATGGAATACAGGTAGACAAAAATCTGAACGAAAAGTAGCATGGACACCATGGTCAACACCATCATCACCATCATTATTTCGATCATCATCATCATCATCAACAACACCAAAAATCAATGTAATTGATACGGGAAATACTCGTCAGGAAAGTTGGAATCAAAGAGCCAGTGATGATGATAGTCCACCAGGTGCATATCATTGGGGTTATCGTTGGATCGATGAATCGGGTAATCAAATGTTTCGTGAAGAAACTGCTGATGGTTATGGAACAGTAACCGGACGATATTCATTCCGGGAATATAATGTAAGTCTGTTTTTTTTTCTTTGAATTTTTGATTCAAATTTTGTTTTTTCAAAAAAGGGTCTCATAAGAATTGTTGAATATATTGCCGATGAAAATGGTTATCGTACCAGAATTCGTAGTAATGAACCGGGTATTGTTACATCCAATCCAGCCGGTGCTCAAATTATACGATTTGAAAATGAAAATGATATTCCAGCTTGATTAAAATGAACATTTAAATTAAAACAAAAAACAAAACAAAATAAAATTTTATTGATTAATTGACAGATTCAAATTTTTGATTTTTATAAATAAAATATTCCCAATCAATCAATCAATCAGTTGTTTCATAAATGCTATTCAAATATTGACAAGCCATATCTGATACCATAGAACGATCTGGTATTTGTTGTGCCATACCATAAATAACACCTGAACCGGATGTTTTTTCATCTGGATTTTGCATACAAATTGCAACTGATTCACGAACATCACGGATAAAATCATCTGCAACACCATCAATAACATGACACATTGTTAAACAGATATGTAATGCTGATGGAAATTGTAAAGCGTTTATATTCCATCCTTTTTTAGTTAAAAGATCACTTTATAAAGATGAGAGATAAACAAGGTTAATCAAAAAATAATCAATCCAATCAAATTACTTACGTTAAACGAAAAATATCAAAACGTTTCGAACCAAAAGCAACAACCGATAATGATGGTTTACCAAGAACAAAAATATCATCAATTTTTTCCAATCCGTTCATTATTTTCTGGCGAACGCTGAGAATTTTTCTCGTCGATTCAACATAACCATTATAACCATAATAAAGCAAAGCTGCCCAACAAGCAGCAATATTAGCACCAGATCTACTACCAGCAATTGTTGGTGATATATAAATACCACCAGGCCATTCAGTATAAACAGAATATTGATATTGACGATATTTTTTATCCGAATACATTATTATTGATGAACCTTTTGGTGTAAAACCATATTTATGTGTATCACATGATATACTTGTAACACCGGGTACGGAAAAATCCACAGGATCGATATGAAAACCAGCATCTTTAACGAATGGAACCAAGAAACCACCAAGACAACAATCAACATGTAATGGTATGTTATATTTATATGCAACAACAGCCAATGATTCAATATCATCAATAATACCATGTGGATAACCACAAGCTGATCCAACCAAAAGAATTGTATTACGATTAACAGCACGTTCCATTGCTTTAACATCGGCTTTAAATGTTACGGGATCCACTGGTATTGAACGAAATTTTATACAAAAATATTGACATGCTTTATGAAATGCAGCATGTGCTGTATTTGGTGCAACCAATTCTGGTTTTCGTATACCACGAACATTACGAGCATAATCACGATATGCTTTTATTGCTAAAACAATTGATTCAGTACCACCAGATGTTAATGATCCACAACAATTATCATCACCACGGTAAAGATTTATAACCCAACGAATAATTTCAGCTTCCATTTTGGTAATATTCGGAAAAACTTCCGGATGTAATGGATTTGAGAAAGCAGTTTCACTATAAATTTTTGTTATTAAATCAATAAGATTTGGTGACATGCTTGAATAAACTGCACCCGATACACGGCCACCTTTATAATCAATTTTTAATAATTTTTGATAATTTTTAAATTCCTTAAGAATTTCTTCAGGTTTCATTCCATTTTTTGGAAGATTTGTAAGGAATTTTTCATTACAATAAATTTCACGACATTTTTTCGAAATAGTTTCATCAGCTTTTGCTAATTCTTTACTAACCATTTGACGAATATAAGGTAAACGAATGAAAATACGAAATAATATTGTTGATATTGCCGACCAGGTAACTTTATTTCAGGGAAAAAAAGAAATTTCGGAAAAAGTTGAAGAATTTTTTCATTAAATTGGAAAAATCAACAGCAACTTACATTCATGATCTTCATAGAAACGATATATACGTGATAATAACAGACATGTAACCAGTGTAGCAAGTAAAATTTGCCAACGATCATATGGCTCTAAATGTAATTCAATTACATCAAGATAATCATTGATGATGAATGTTGTTTGATTCAATATTGAATCCATTGTGTTTGATTTTCGCAAAAACGGGAATGTCTTTTTTTTAATGAGAAAAATGCAATTTATAAACGGAGATCAGCCAGTGAATCAAAATCAAGTCCAGAAAAAATGATCGTTGAGTACATTATCCAAACAGAAAAACAAAAAAACACCAAAAAAAATGATAACAACAATGACTATAACTTTCTTCACTTTTAGATTTTTCTTTTTTTTCCATATATAGTATGTATGTGAGATTAATTTGCAATGATAATTATCATGAATTGGATCATCATCGTTGTTTTGGGTGGAAAATACATTTTTTTAAAAATTAAATTATCAAAAAACTGTCTGGAAAATTGGGAAACAAAACAACAAAAAACTTGACAATGATTTTATCAAAGATTTAATTAAAGATCAAATTGACTCAAAGAATTGGTTTAATCAATCAAAATAACCAACAACAACAACAACAACAAAAAGTTTGATAAGAAATGGAAAAACAAAAGCAGAAAAAAAAATCGAATCCAAATCCCAAAACAAAACAAAAAAAAATCGAATCCAAATCGAAAACGTCATTTATGAATGAATCTTGGATCTATTTTTTTTCTTCTCTTTTTTTTCAGTTCGGTCATCCAAAAAAACGAAAAAAACAAAAACAAAAAAGAAAAAACCAAAACAACAACAACAACAACAGTGACGATATTTTGATGTATTGCGCCCATTGATAATGATGATGATGATGTGACAGTTCAACATCGAGACATAATCATCATCATCATCATCATTATTAGATCATTAGCCATCATCAACAACAACAACAACAACATTGACTGACTGAATGAACATTGAAAGAAAATTAAAGCTTGAAAGAAAACCTTGAACAACAATGAATCTCTATTCAATTCAATTCAGAACTGAAATTGAATTGAAAACCTTTTTGAATTGAATTGAATGAAATTTCATTGTCATTTTAATTTCATTCAATTTCTCTCTGTGTGTTTGTTTACCAAGTTTTTTCGTTCGTTTCATTCGTTCGAATTTTCTGTGTGCGCTCACAATCTTCATTTTATAAAGATATATTGCATTTGTTTTCGTTGGTGGCATCGTTCGTTCGTTTTCGGATTGTGTAATGATGTGTGTGTGTGTGTGTAAACCAAGAAGCTATTCACCCCATATTGACCTATCAACAACACCCTTTTTTTCAACTTTCAGCGTAATCATCAGCGAAAAAGGGTTATATTTCATCATATGATTGCAATTTTCACATACACACACATAGAATTACAAAATGAATTTAGCAAAATTATTTCGTCATCAATCAGGTAAGACTGTTTTCCTTTTCGTTGTTGTTGTTGTTGTTGATCTATTTCCCTCTTTGCCTTGAAAACAAATCAAAAAATAAAAATGTTATCCACATTTGAGCTTTTTGATCATTCGATTGAATTTAATCGAATAAAAATCAATCAAAACAACAACAACAACAAAAAATGATTGATTTTTGTCAAAAAGTTCAAATCATATGATTGAAAAACAAACAATGTTTGTTTTTTTCTGGTTGATCTGTGTGTGTGTGTTGGTGAATAAATTGATCATTTTGTTTTGTTTGTTTTTGATCCTTGCCTTTTTTTTGAAAAAAGTTATTTTTGTTTATGTTTATTTTTGGCTCAAGATTTTATCCCAAAAATAAAAAAGATTTTCTTTTTATTTTTGGAATTTAAGCTTTTTTCTTAAAAGAGAGCGGATGTTTTTTTTTAAATAGAAAAATTCTGAAACTTGATAACTTGTGATAGAATATTTAGATTACCAAAAAAATTCTGTAAATATTCCTATTATTATCAACAAGAATTTTTTCAGTGAACTTTTCAAATATAAATAGCGAAAGGGCAGGCAGACGAATTTCATTTCATTTTTTCCAAGATTCTTTTGAATGAATTTTGCTGTTTTTTTTGTTTTGTTTGGAATTTCCATTCGGAACTACTATATACAGCTTGCTTTTTTGATAGACATAGATAGATGTACTCTATACAGATAGGAAGGAAAAGATTTTTTGGTGAGTCGAGTTCAATATCAAAAACATTTCGATTTTTTTACTTACTATATAACGGAGGCACCCATTAGTGTAATGATCTCTTCTCTTGATTCTCTGGATTCTGGATTCTCGATAACTTTGTTTTGATTCGGATTCGGATTCCGAGAGTCGATGTGGAACTCATCATCATTGTTATTTTTGTTTGCTTTTCTGGCTCTACCCTCTTACCACCACCACCACCACCGCCATTAAAAAGGCCACTATTTTTATCTATCTAGTTACCCTTTGATTACTATATTTTGCTTTTTTGCATTACAATGGATTTTAATTGTTATTTTTTTTATGAATGAATTTTTTCGTTTCGTTTGTAAACAGAAAACTAAATATTTATCATCATCATCGTCAACAACGTCATTCTATTTTTAACTTTGATCGATTTTTTTTTTTGGAGGGATCGATCCTGTTTTTTGGCTTTTGTAAATATATAAAATAAAATTTTTCTTTTATAAATGCGAATGACTATAATGATGGCATCAATTGCACGTCGTGTTGCTACATCATCATTATGTGGTCTTTCAACATCGACAACATCAACATCACCAACATCAACATCGAATAAAAATGGTAAAACTATTGATAAAAAACGTTTTGGTGGTGGTGGTCATAAACATAATCATAGACATGATAATGGTAAAAAACAACAACAACCAATAATATCAACAACATCAACTTCTTCATCCGGTGGATTATCATCATTTAGTAGCAGTGGCGGTGGTGATGGTATTGATGATGGTCCATCATCAACATCAACATCATCATCATCAAATCAAACAACAACAATGATAACTTCAAATTCACAATCATCACCAAAATCATCATCATCAATAACATCGACAAATCGTTCGGAAAAGTAAGTTTTTTGACGGAAAAATATTCTTCTCGATTCTTGATTCTTCTTCTTTTTTGGTTTGGTTAACCTAAATTCTTTTTCTCAAAAAAAAAATCGAACGCAAATGAAAAACATTCGAAAATTTTTCATTCGAAACGATCATGCGCAATCGATTTTTGATTTGATTTTGTCACAAAAAAAAAATGAAAAAAATGTACCACAAATTCGAGATGATAAATAATATTTTTTTTTCTCATCAAAAACATATCAACCACACTGTGTTAGTGATGATTATGTCAGAATGTTGTTGTTGTTGTTTTTGATGTGATGCTTTTCTGGTTGTTGTTGTTGTCGGTGAAATAAGAAAAAAAAACCAGGAAATAATAATTTTTTCTTTTTAAAACCAAAAACCGAATGTAAGGCAACAACAAGAATTTATTGTTGTTGTTCTTGATGAACTTTCTTTGAAATTCTTTCTTTTTCATTTCACTTTTCTTTTCTTTTTGGCAAAATTTCGCACAAAGTTCATTTGCCCTTTTTGTTGTTTTCCAAATGAAAACATTATTTTCTTTTAATTTTTTCTTCATCAGCATCCCACCACCCATTTGAAATTTAATTTTTTTTGTTTTCAAAAAAAATTCAATTTTTTACTTTTGTTTTCGTTTCTTCAGATGATTTTCGTTTCATTCTTGTTCATCCACTCCTCTCACTGACTTTCACCAAAACACTGTTGTTTTTTTGCATGAAACTTTTTTTCTGAAAATTTTTTGAATTTTTCCCCAAAAAAATGTGTGTGTAATGTTTCAACTTTGAAATTGTTTTGTTTTGTGCATGGTGGAATTGATTTTTTTTTTTGAAAAAAAAATTTTTCTGTTCTGTTTGTTTTGTGATAAAATTTCAACAAAAAATTTTTATTTTTTCTTCATTTTTGTTTTGCATTTCTCCATCTCCAACCAACAAACAAACAAACAAAATGTTTCCATTTTTTCTACGAAATTCTACTAATCATCATCATCATGATTATTCCATCCAAAGGTAATTTGGTCAACGAAAGAAAGTTTTTCTAAATTTTCCTTTTTTTTCATTTTCTCCCCATGTGTGATAATTTAGGGTTAAATTTGGTGTTCCATTTGTCGATGTTTGTAGTTTACATAATGATCTACCTAGTCTTTTGATAATGATGATATTAAAAATGAATAAAGAAGCACCATATAAAAAAGATGTCTTCCGTGCACC